TAACCTCAAAAGTCAGCATCCCTTTTGAGCTGCATTATACAAACTACTTACTAAGATCTAAGCTAACTAAAATCAATTCCAACCCTTTCACTAGTTTATACTGGCTTAAGAAAACTGAAAGGTTTTCAAGCAAAATAATCAACAAATCAGCCATTGGAAAAGTCAGAGAAAATTTGTGGAAATTTTCCATCCTAGAGAAATAATGACTCTCAGTCTAGGAATGCAAACTTTCAAGACTCAATCAACTTCATCCTATTTACAACTTCACATAGGTTCACCTCAACACAAATTTTCATGACCCAGCAGTATGTTAAGCATCGAACATCTTTGCTCATTTTCCAACATCCAACACCAACATCCACAAAATGCAAATTGAATATCTAAGGCTTGATCACGAAGACCACATCTTCAGATATCTACATTGCACTAACACTCTTCTTCAACCACTTTCAAGATCTAACATGAAGCCAAAACATTAATAAGAAAAATGACATATCAAGGTCTAAGGAAAATCCCTCATCACTCAAAATAACAATACTAGTTCCACTAACACAAGTTCTAGTGATGTTAATGCCTCAATTACACATCTTCTCCATCCAACAATCTACTCTAAGTGCTAATGGATTAATTGACAAGCTATAACAAATGAATGCTACAACTTTTTCCAACACCTTATAGGCAAACTTAAGGAAACAACGTACTAACTCAAGCTTAGCATAATGAATCACCATTGAGAACTTAGTCAAAGCTACTTAAATGCTACTATATAAAGTAGACTAGCTTCATTATCACCCACTTTGGGGTTGATCATCGTTTAACTAAGCAACTTCGTAAATACATTACTCACTATCATATGGATATGATAAAAAAATCACAATAACTTGATCATCAATCGAGCAACACTATGAGTAATGCCTATGTCACTACTACAAGGTTTATATGAGTATCAAGTGCTAACTCAATTTGATAAAATGCAACATAAATGCCACACCCCACTGATAAAGATTTACAACACTCAACACCATTAATTTTTGTTCACAACACAGACAAGCTCATGCCACTTTCTTTCTGACCAAACTCAAAATTAATCCAACACTAAGCTACTCAATGAGCAATAGCAAGGTTCCCTGGAAAAGATTTAAGCATTGTAACCCAAGTCTTTCAATGGCAAGCCTAAACAAAATAATTTAGCGCTTCATCGCTATCCATCCCATGACTCACCATTTGTAAGATCATCACTTCCAATATGCATCAAAGTAGGGACTCTTGATTGCATGATGTGAATATGAGCAATGAGTTAACACCTCGTTGCAAATCATCTCTCCAAGAAGAGAAAATGATTTACGTGTTTGATCCTTTGTCCCTGATAATTTTCTTTTCAATCCCATCTTTGACTAAACCTTAAGCTTGTGTTTGCACTACATTCAGTCCAATCTAAGAAAAGTTTATGAGAGAGCATGGCAATGATTACTTAAACCAATGGACTAATCTCTATAATCTTGATTGGTTCACTTATAATCATGCCTAAGAAGGATCCACTAGTGCCGTGCTAAACAGCTATAGACTAGCCTATTTGCCACTCATAGCAAACCCAAGGGAGGTTTACTTTCACCTGGGGTACAAGGAACAACTCATGGAACCATTAATGGGCTAACATTAATTCTGCCAACTCAAAGCATAACCTTGAGTTGCTAATGTGCCACACTCCCAAGCCCAAGTGCAAACTTGTGCTAATATGCCTCACTCAGTCCATCTTATGAGCCCAAGAGCAAGCTCACATAATACAGTACAAAAAAGTAACCAAAATCCATACCCAAGGAATAAATAAGAAGCTTTTGCACCCAAACATGTAGCCACTCGGATCATCATTTTTATCTCTACGTATGCAACAAGATTAGTGGCCCAATTTCATTGGATAGTACTTGCTGAGACTCACTCTTTGATACCAAATGTAGCACACGTGGTTTTTACCCTTTATCCTATGGTGATTTACTATAGGATAACCATGAAGCGGAACCTAACCCACCATGTGCCACATGACATATGCCACATATCCAAAGGACAATGGTGTGGAACCCAAGTTTCAGGGCTTGGGGCCATAAACGAAGGAACGGTGCCAAACTCCTAAGCATAGAGCCAAGGAGCAATGGCATTGGGACACGGAATAATTCCTGAGTATAAAGCCTAAGGAGCAAAGGGACAAGAGCATAGAACGGCTTGGAATAGTCCTAGAGCATTCAGCATCTTAATGCCAAAATGAGCACGCAAAACGGAGTTAAATGGAGTTAAACGGAGTTTAGCACTATTTCAGCATACCGATAACCTAATGCGAGGATATGGGTACTCCACCAACTAATATGGTATGGAACT